TGACCCAAGCCATGGTATTTTTAATCACTTCATATACTTGTGAAAGTTAGCAAATGAATAAGGAAGACTGTAGAAGAGTCCATGCATTTGAATTACGGTGTTTGTGAAGAATATCGAATACCATGGATTGCCAGAAAAACAAACAATTCTGTCTTGGAAGGAGTACAGCCAGAGTGCTCCTCAGAAGCGAAGATGACAAGACTTCATCTCTCGTATTTTGGACATATGGCCTGGTAAAGTGGAGAGTTAGAGATAAAGAAGAAGACCCCAAAAGAGATGAACTGACAAAACAGTAGCAACAACGGACTCAAACAATAATTGTGAGGGTAGCACAGGACTAGGCAGTGTTTCATTATTGAGCATAGGGCCACAATGAGTTGGAACTGACACATTTGGTACCTACCAACAACTAACATCAAAATTACAAGTACCTAAAGCAAAAACTAAAAATTAAAGATGAGGAGAGTAAAACCTCTCAAGACAAGGTCAGCAATTCAAAATTACCAGCGGTTTCGTGGGAGAAAGATGAGGCTTTCTGCTCCCATAAAGATTTACAGCCTTGGAAACCCTATGCCAAGTCACTATAAGTTGGAACAGACTCCATGGCACACCACAACCATATATTCACCACTATGTGTTGGAACTGACTCAACGGCACTTAACAACAACAACAGCAACAATGTATCTATCTGGACACCTGGTATGGTGCTGTAGGATCAGTACTGGACTGCAAACTGGTCGGCAGTTCAAACCCACCACAGCTGCTCCTCTGAAATCCTATAACAGGGTCGATATGAATTGGAATCAATTCAATGGCATTTAAAAACATGTACCTATCTACTACTTGGCTGGAAATTGGGCCAAAAGGGTGAGTTCTAGTCCAGACATGAAGGGTGGTCAACAGTCATAGTCTCAGTTTCCTCCAGTCTCTTTCAAACCAGTAAGCTTTTGAGTTTTGTTCCACATTTTCTCCCACTCTATCTGGGACCACCTAATGTGATCTCTTTCAGAGCAGATGTTAATGGTAGTAGCTAGGCACGATCTGGGTCTTCTGGTCACAGATCATGGTGACTGATGTTCACATGTCCATTGGACTAGCTGATTCCAGGCATCTTCAAATTTCCATCACTCTTTCTTTCATACAAGGGGAGACCAGTAGTTGTACCTTAGATGGCTGATCCTGAGCTTTTAACATCTCTGAGCTTTTCTTTGTGGAAAGTTTTAAAATAATTATTCAATTTCTTTACTTGTTATATTTCAATTCAGATCTTGAGTCAGTTTTGTAATTCATCTCTTCCGAGAAATTTGTTCAATTTAAGTTACATAACTTGTTGCCATACATAGTATTCCCTATTCTCCTTTTTACTTTTGTAACACTGTCCCTTTATTTATCCTGATTTTAACCATTAGAGATTTCTCTCATTTTTTAATTGATCAGTCTGTTTGTCAATTATATTGATTTTTCCCCAAAGTTTAGTTACATTGATGTTCTCTGTTTTTCTATTCTCTATTTCATTCATTTCCACTCTGATATTTGTTATTTCTTTCATTCTGCTTGCTTTGGGGTCAGTTGTTCTTTTCCTAGGTTTTTTAAGGTGATTTGAAATTTCTATTTTTAACACAGGAGTTTATAGCTATCAATTTCCCTCTAGTTGCATTCCATATATTTTAGTTTGTTATGTCCCTATTTTAATTCAAAGTATTTTCTCATGTTCCTTGTTCCTTTTCACCCATTGATGATTAGAAGTGTGTTGTTTAATTTGCACATATTTCTGGAATTTACAAATTTTCTGCTACTGGTTTCTTGGTGTAGCACTGTGGGTTAATACACAGGACTGCAAAGTCGGTTTGAACCTCAAGGTCGGTGGTTCAACCTCACCAGTTGCTCCTCGGAAACCCTATACAGAGTCACTATGGGTTGGAACCGACTCGACAGCACTTAACAACAACAAAATTGATTTCTAATTTTTTTCCACTGTGTTTGCAGAACACAATTTGTGGAATTACAGTGCAACTAATTTACTGAGATTTGTCTTAAGGCCTAACCCTACATGTTGTTGTTGTTAGGTGCTGTCTAGTCATAGTGACCCTATCCACAACAGAATGAAATATTGACCAGTCTTGTGCCAAATTCACAATTGTTGCTACACTTGAGCCCACTGCTGTTTTCACTGTGCCAGTCTGTCTTGTTGGGGTCTTCATCTTTTTCACTGACCCTTCACTTTACCAAGCCTGATGCCCTTTCTCCAGGAAGTGGTCCCTCCTAATAATATGTCTGAAGTATGAGAGACTAAGTCTGGCTATCCTGACTTCCAAGGAGCATTCTGTCTGTACTTCTTCCAATACAGATTGTTTTGTTCTTTTGGCAGTCCATGGTACACTTAATATTCTCCTCCAACACTGTAAAATGCATCAATTCTTCTGTGGTCTTCCTTATTCACTGTCCAACTTTCACAGGCATATGAGGTTAGCTTGGGTCCAGCACACTTTAGTCTTCAAACTGCTATCTTTGCTCTTCAACACTTTGGAGAGGTCTTGTGCAGCAGATCTGTCAAATGCAATATGTTGTTTGATTTCTTGACTGCTGCTTCCATGAGTGTTGATGGTGGATCATAGCAAAATGATACCATTTATAATGATGTCATTTATTGGTCCAGTGGTGAGGATTTGTTTTCTTTACATTGAGGTGCAACCCATACCGAAGGCTGTATATAGTCTTTGATCTTCATCAGTATTTTAAGTCCTCTTTGCTTCTAGCAAGCAAGGTTATAACATCTGCATCTCTCAGGTTGTTAATGAATCTTTTTCCAATCCTGATGCCACGTTCTTCACATAATTCAGTTTCTCTGATTATTTTTGCTCAGCATACAGATTGAATAAGTATATTGAAAGAATACAACCCTGGTACACACATTTCTTGATATTAAACCAACAGTTGTTCTGTTCAAACAACTGCCTCTTGGTCTATGTACAGGTTCCTCATGAGCACAATTAAGTTTTCCAGAATACTCATTATCTACAATGTTTTCCAGAGCTTGTCATTAGTGTCTAATTCATCAAATCTGTTCTTGAAATGATCTCTAAATTCAGGTGGGATATATTCAAGGTCATATTTTGCCCATACCTTGTTTTGATACGGAGCTTTTCCACCATCTCTTTCTACAGATGTAGTCATTTGGTTTCTGTGTATTCCATCTGGTGAGGTCCATGTGTTTTATGTTGTTAAAAAAAAGTCTTTTCAATGAAGAAAGCATTGATCTGGCAAAATTTTATTATATAATTTCCAGCATTGTTTCTAGCACCAAGGCCATATTTTCCAACTACTGATCCTTCCTCTTTGTTTCCAATCAACAGTAATTATCAGTACATCTTGATTACATGTTTGATTGACTTTGAATTGAAGACATTGGTAGAATTCTTCACATTCATCATCACTGGCTTTAGTGGTTGTTGCATAAATATAAACAGTCGTGGTATTGACTGGTCTTCCTTATAGGCGTGCGGATATTATCCTATCACAGACAGCATTATACTTCAAGAGCGATCTTGATACTCTTTTTGATGATGAATGTGACACCATTTCTCCTCAATTTGTCATTCCTGGCATAGTAAACCATGTGATTGTCAGATTTAAAAAGGCCACTATAGTCTACACTATATATTTCATGTGCACTTGGGAAGATTGTTCTATAGGTGGCTTTTAGGTCTACTATTTTACATTTTATAACGTTGTTCAACTCTTCTATTTCCTGTCTAGTTGTTATACCCCTAATCAAATTTCTTATCCCAAAGAGCAACTTCAGTAAATATCACAGATGCTCACTACCTGCTTTCTCAAGGAGAACACATTCATTGCTGGCTGCAGGTCTGTAGCCATAAAAAGCTCTGAAATTAAATAACTTCTAAGGCTCCCTTTTGATGTCATTAATAGAAATTAAAATGGAAAAACATATGAATCCCAGCCCTGACCACTTACTGTATGATCAATTTAATTTTACTGTGAGTGTCTCATAACAACTAAATTTATTCATATTCCTACTTCAACAAATATTCTAAGTATATAGAGAGGTCTATGTAGGCAGGATTCCTGTAGCCAGAGTGGCTGGCAAACAAGTTAGATTTTCCTGATGCCAGCCTCTCTTACTTCTAACCATCCTCAAAATTGTCTCCCGTACCTACTTTTAACATGATGTACAAATGGTAGTTGGTTTTCTTAGGCAAGGGATGTCCACACTACTGTGGATTTGAGTTTGGTCAAGTGTGTGGTTAAAAGAAGGAGAATAAATATGCAGCTGACTCAATTATTCAAACCACTCCTTGTTTCCCCAGGGATTGACTGAGCTGTTGAGAAACACCTTCCACCAGTCAAGTCCTTAACTGGCAGGCTGCTACCTGAAAACCTGAGGAATCAATGTATTGGCCTTGCTGCCTTCCTCTAGTTTTTTTTTTTTTTTTTCTTTTTCTTGTTCTTAAAAGATCCCAAATCCTGTTTAAAAGTTAAAATTCTCTCTTGTTATTTCTACTCAGTTAATATGAAAAGCCCAGGCTAAAGAAATGTTTCAAGTAGTTCTATATTTGATATCTGAGGCATGGTTAGTTGTCCAGGATTTTAATTCCCATTAAAAGGATTTTTCCAAAATCACAAGATATATCATCTTAAAAAACATATCCACATTTTCTATCACTACCTCACTAACATATTATTTAATTTAAAATTTTAGATAGAGGTTTTCTTCTATTTAATCAAGCCTCCTCTAATCTGACAAGGGAGACCAAGATGTGCATGCAGATCAATTCCAGATCTCACATTAATCAAAAGTACCCCAGTTATTTTCCAACATTATTTCTCCTAAAGCAACCAATTCTCATCTTTGCACAAATACTAATGGCTCAAGCCATTATTGTATTTTAATTAATTTGATCTAAATTTTATGAGAGGTTGTTTTTCAGTTAATCAATGCAGAAGTTTTCAAAAGGTCATATCCCAAGAGAAGACTTACACCACAGAGCAAGCATAGCATCCCTTCTTGCTACTCTCTCGAATTAAGAATGCACCATCAGGTTTTCCATAAAGCAAGTCCTCTGCTTGTATTCTATTGATATCCTCAACAAACCAGGTTTTCTCATCATAATGGGGCAGGTTTTCATCTTCCTCATTTATAAAGTAAGTCCTAAAAATTAATGTTAAAAGGTAATTTTAACAATCAATTTACTTATTTCTAAAAACAAATTCATAAACAAAACTCACTTCTAAATCTTTTACCCCAAAAGGACAAAGTGAAATTGTTTTGAGTTGGGTTTTGTTTTTAAAGAGTTTCACAACTAGTTATAATGCAGGAAATAATGAATTTACATGTCCCATTCAATAAACTGAAATATGAATAAATGCCAGTGTGCTGGTACATACAGGTTTTATGCGACTGAATATAAACTCAGAACTCAGAGCCTATAGGGCACTCTTCAAACAATTCAGTTTAAAACAGATGCAAAGTTCTAATTTTATATTCTCAAGTGACAATAAGAACTAATATTTAGCATATATAAATAAGGCCCATGTCTTACACTGGGAACAAAGCCCTCTTGCAAAAAGGTAGCGGACACTTACTCATCAGCATCCTCATTCTTGATTCCCAGCCAGGTATTCAGACGCTTCTGTCTCACTCCTTTGTGATTGAGCCATCTGCCAGAAGGAAGACATCAGTGTCAATATTCGTGAAAACTCTGCCTGGAAAAAGTAGACGTAACACAAGAGCAAACCAACCTCCCAGAGTCCAGGAGCCTCTTTTCTCCCCAAACTCACAAAGAATGGCCAGAAATTTCCCTAAATTAGTCTCTCCACTAATTTTCCTTCAATTAATATCATTTTGAATTAATCTCTTCTGTGAAAGGAATATGGAGAGCTACCTGAAATTAGGCACCTCTCTTACTTTTCACTTCCTTTTAAATAATGTTTTATTACCACAAGTGCACATATCCTTGCAGTCATATATATTGGGTCTCCTGTTTCTGAAATTTCATGAGTGATCATGGTGCCTTTTCACAAACAGGCAATCTCCACTAAACCAAAGAAGCCTACTGCTGTATGGCCTATGGCATTGAATTTAACAGTTGAAAACAAATACCCAAAGTTAATTTTTGCACCTAAGCAAGCCACAGGAGTCCTGGTTGTGGTGTTGTGGGCTAATGAGTCAGACTGCAAAGTCGTTTGAACTGCAAGGCTGGTGGTTCAAGCTTACCAGCTGCTCCTTGGAAACCCTACACAGGGTCGCTGTGGGTCGGAATCAACTTGATGGCACCCAACAACAAGCAAGCCACAAGAAATTCTAGGTGACAATTTGAGTCCTTAATATTGCTTTTACTTCACTGTCACACAAATCACAGTACTTAAAAGCTACTCCTGGTGTATTTCTGTAGGATCAGAACTGGACTGCTAATCACAAGGTTAGTGGTTCAAATCACAAGGTTAGTGGTTCAAACCTACCAGCTTCTCCTCAGAAACCCTATACAGCATTGCTATGAGTCAGAACTGAATTAATGGCACTTAACAACATTACCACTACTTACATTTTACATGTAACATCATATAAACCATCACCCTGTATACCTTTGAGATAGTTAATGGTCTAAAATTAGAGTGAAATATAGAAAACTTTCATTTATCACCATCCCCAAACCAAGGTTTCTGAGAATTTAGGCCTCATATCACAAATATTATCTCCTCAAGGATTCCCGATTGTCTCAACTAAGGCCACCTCCCAAATATCCTCTACACTTTATAATTTTCATTTACATCTCTGTGTCTGAAATTATTTGATACTTTTACTTCTTTGTCTCCCTCCATTAATGTACAAACTGTTTTAAAGAAAGGAATCTTTCCTGTTTATGGCCATTGTCAGTTTGTTATACTGTGGTGGCTTGCGTGTTGCTGTGATTCTGGAAGCTATGCCACCGCTATCTTAAATACCAGCAGGGCCATCAATGGTGCATAGGTTTCAGATGAAGCTTCCAGATGAAGACAGACTAGGAAGAAGGAGAGGTGGACTACTTCCTAATATTTAGTCACTGAAAACATAATGAATAGTACCAGAGTACTGTCACATATAGTGCCAGAAGATGAGCCCCTCGGGTTGGAAGGCACTCAAAATGCAACTGGGGAAGAGCTGCCTCCTCAATGTAGAGTTGACCGTAATGACATACTTGTTGATGGGGCATAACTCAAAGTGAACAGAAAAAGTTGTAAACATCTACTAATAATTGGAAAATGGAATGTACAAAGTATGAATCTAGGAAAACTGGATTCACATATAAAGTACAACACTGTCTGTGATAGTATAATTTCCATACACCTACAAGGAAGACCAGTTAATACCACTATTATTCAAATTTATGCACCAACCACTAAAACCAGTGATTATGAAATTGAAGAATTCTACCAACTTCAGTCTGCAACTGATTAAACATGCAATCAACATGTACTGATACTTGTGATTGGAATGCAAAGGCTGGAAACAAAGAGGAAGGATCAGTAGTTGGAAAATATGCCTTTTGTGATAGAAACAATGCTGGAAATCACATGATAGAATTCTGCAAGACCAATGATTCTTTATTGCAAATACCATTTTTAAATAGCGTAACAGATGACTATACACACAGAGCTCACCAGATGGAATACACAGAAATCAGATTTACTACAATTGTGGAAAGAGACGGTAGAAAAGCTCCAAGACCAGGGACAGACTGTGGAACAGACTATCAATTGCTCATATGCAAGTTCAGTCTGAAGATGAAGGAAATTATAATAAGTCCACAAGAGCCAAAATATAACCTTGAATATATCCTACCTGAATTTAGAGATCACTTCAAGAACAGATTTGATGCATTAGACACTAAAGATTGAAGACCAGAAAATTTGTGGGATGACATCAAGAACATAATCAAGGAAGAAAACAAAAGGTCATGAAGAGGACAAGAAAGAAGGAAAAGACTAGCATGGATGTCGGAAGAGACTCTGAAACTTGCTTTCCAGTGTAGTGATACTAAAGCAAATGGAAGATAAGAAGGTAAAAGAGCTGCATTAAAAATTTCAAAAGGCAGCTCGAGAACACAAAGTCAGATATTATAATGAAATATGCAAAGACCTGGAATTAGAAAACCAAAAGGGAAGAACCCGTTCAGCGCTTCTCAAACTGATGCAGCACTGGAGGCGCTCACTGATCTATGCAAAGAAATCTGGATAACTACCTGGCCAACTGACTGGAAGAGATCCATATTTGTGACCATTCCAGAGAGGTGACCCAACGGAATGAGGAAATCATCATACAATATCATTAATATCACATGAAAGTAACATTTTGCTAAAGATAATTAAAAAATGGCTACAACTACACATTGACAGAGAACTTGCAGAGGTTCAAGTTAGATTAAGACAAGGATATGGAATGAGCGATATCACTGCTGATGGCAGCTGAAAGCAGCAAATACCAGAAAGATGTTTAGCATTGTTTTACTGACTACACAAAGGCTTTCGATTGTATGGCTCATGACAAGCTACGGACAACATTGTGGAGAATGAGTATTCTGGAACACTTAACTGTGCTCATGAAGAACCTGCACATAGACCAAGAGGCAGTTGTTTGAACAGAACAAGGTAATACAGACCAAATGGTTTAAAATTAGGAAAGATGTGTGACAGGGTTCGGTTCTTTCACCATGCTTATTCAATTATTCAAATATATTTGAATGCTTATTCAAAATATATGCTGAGCAAATAATCCAAGAAGCTGAATTAGATAAAGAAAAATGTGGCATCAGGACTGGAGGATGACTCAATAACAACCTGTGACATGCAGATGATACAACCTTGCTTGCTGAAAGCCAAGAGGATTAAATTATGAAGATCAAAAACCATAGCCTTTTTATGGGTTGGATCTCAATGTAAAGAAAACAAAAATCCTTACTACTGACCAACAAGCAACATCCATATAAAGGGAGAGAAGACTGAAGTTGTCCAAAACTTCATTTTGCTCTGATACACCATCAACATTCATGTTTTGTAAAGTGGAGGGCTGGGGGAAAGAGGAAGACCACCAATGAGATGGACTGGCACAGTGGCAGCAGCAATGGACTCAAACGAAGCAATGATTGTGAAGTTGGCAAAGGACTGGTCAGTGTTTCATTCTGTTGTGCACAGGGTCAATATGAGTCAGTATCAAATCTATGGCACAATAACAATAACAACAACAATAACAAAATATTTGCTAACTGTCTACATTTAACAAAATCTTCCCAACTATGAAGTATCTCTCTCTGACCCCAAGGATACTAGAGAACTTGGCATGACACCTATTTTAAAGTTCTTGTAGATAGATCCCACAGCCTTTCTTAATTAGGCCTGTCCTTCAATTAACCTGGATCTCATATTTTACTTTTAGTGAAGGTGGAAGACAGTTAGCACATGAGCTTTCACAGAACTTATCCCCTCCTACACCATAATTTCTCTTATCAAGATACTTTTGTCACCCAAAGTTTTCTATCTTTAAAGAAACTGCTCTTTTATTAAAGAGAAAGGGACAGTAAGTAAAAGAATTGAAATTATCAAACTGCACTACATTTTCTTAAGTCCCCATTTTCTTTTAACCATCAAACTCTTTAAATGGAACCTCTTTCTGCCACAGAGAATGTTAGGACACCGTAAAAGGGAAGGCCAAGAGAAAGAAAAAATGGTTTTTGTCTACCCCACTTAATACAGTGAAACCTGTGAGACCCAAAACTTCACAGGACTATATTGCTTTTTGGTGTCTCACAAGTTTTCCACCTTTGACAGGGTGCAGTCTTAGCACTTTCATAACACTCATTTTAGTGGAACATACTTTACTTTTCCTTCTCTGTCGGGTTTTATCTTACACAGAGACGTCTTATTGTAATAGTGTCTACCTTCTGAAATAGTCAACTGTTTTAAGTCCATTTGAAAGATTTCTACATAGTTCTGAGTTCTTAACTTCTAAGAGCAATACCAGGAATTGGCTAGCTTTTAAAAATTATTCTGAAAGAGCTCAATGAGCATAGTAAATATGCTGATTCATATTTAACTTACTTTTAATGAGTAATGTCCAGATCACATGTAAAGGTATTACATTCTAGAGAAACCAATATGAAGCAAGTATCAAAAGATGAGATAACCAGTTCTAATTCTATTACTAACTAATTATGTGGTCTTGGACCAGCCTCTCTTTATGTCTGTTTTCTCTTTCAGGAAATAGGAAAAATACTACTCCTAAACCTTACACTGGAGTCCTGGTGTGGTGCTGTGGGCTAATGCATCAGACCTAACCTGCAAAGGTGGTGATTCCAGCTCACCAGTTGCTCCTTGGAAACCCTATACAGGGTCACTATGAGTCGGAATCTACTCAACAGCACTTAACAACAACAACAAAGCTTACACTAAAGGTTACCTTAAAAAAGAAGAAAAAAGCTGGTTTGGCATGTCCTTTCTTAGACTGCTTCAGCAAGTGGGGAAAAAAATTGTAATAAATTTTATGCCCTTTCTAAAGGTCTTAGTTGACCTTACAACCCACTTAAAAGAAAAGAAAATGAAAAAAAAAACACAAACAGTTGTGCAGTTAGTTCATTCTGACTCATGGTAACCCCATGTGTATTACAGAAGAACTTAAGGGTTTTCAA